GCGGGCGCTGAATTCCCGCAAGGCCGGCTTGCCCTCGGAGCCTGCGGGAGACAGGAGCCACATGGAGACCCGGCCGGCCCGGAGGCGGGAGCGACTCGGAGCAGAAAACCCTCCTGGTGTCTAATCCGGCAGCGCTGGCGCCGGGCGCGTGCGACGCACGGGGGTTTTCCCTGCGCGGGAGAACAAGAGCAGGACACGGCAAGATGCCAGGCCGACCCAACGGGAATGAGGGGAAACCGCTGGAAACCCGGCCTGCTCTGGAAAAGTCGCGGCTGAAAACATCAGCGTGAGCAAAATATAGCTAAAAACACCCCCCTGGAAGCGGTAGGTCCTGCTGGGGGGTTTAATGCCACACACTGCAGCCAGAAAGAGCCCGTGCCAAGGAGAAAAGGCAGCGAACACGGGAGGGCTGCGCCGTGGATCCCGCTGCAACGGCCGCAGGCGCTCGGAGGAGCCCGCGGGGGTTAAACGCGCTGGGTGATTTAATGCAAAGGGCCGTAAATGACACACGAAAGGAAACACTCCCTCAAGGTGCTACTTTAGTGAAGGGTTTTCTAGCTATAAGAGCAGTGAAAATTTAAACAGCTTCGCTAGGAAAGTGGCAGAGTTTGAACTCCTGCCCAGGACCCGCGAACTGGCCTCGCTCCACGGCTGGAAGGGTCTGTCCGAAACACGGAACCCGCAGGGGCTCAGCACATCCCATTGGGAACGGCGCTGCTCCGTGACCAACAGTCAGTGTTTTGCCATGAACGAGCAGTGCAACGAGCCCAGCGCTTGAGAAAAGCCAGCAGCCAGAGACGGCAGCAAAGAAAAGTCACTAAAACCTGGAGCAAAGACACGGGAACACCGGGAACACCGGGAACAGCGGCCTCCGGAGCAGCCAGGAGGCTGGGAAGGTCCCGGGGTGAAGGTGCGTTTTGCTCCCCCTCGTACAAGTTACCTCCAAGGAAGGAAGCAAAGGAGTTTTGCTGCCTTGGGAAGGCGCCTTGCGGAGCAGAGCCCCGGGAGGCTGCAGGGATGGAGCCGGGAGAGGCCGGAGCCCATTCCCGGCCGGAGCCCGTTCCCGGCCGGAGCTGCCCCAAGCGACGTGTTTTCCATCCTCGCCGCGGGGTCGGGGCCGGGCTGC